ACTCTCCTCTTCCCTTTGTTGTGTGGAGGCAACCCAGTTCAGGCCACAGAAATAGCAGAACAATTAGTCTCTTTACAGCAGACAGCACTGTCTGTGAATGTTTCATGGATAAGGCTTTAAGGACATTTTGTGCAAAATGTAAAACAGTGGGGTACACAAGATAAATAAGTATTTTATAGACAGGGTTCACTGTTGTTAACAAGGAACTCTGGAAAGTGTGAACCCTCTTATATTACAGATTAAAGGGTTCTGATCAAAAAAATTACAGTGCCACGTAAACCCGCATGAAAACAATTGCCCACAAATATTTATTTATATCCACTTGTCCTCCGAAAGATTTACCCCCTTCATGACCAGGTCATTTTTGCTAAGCGGTACTGCGCTACTTTAACTGACAATTATGCCGTCATGCAACACTACTCAAATTAAATTTATGTAATTTTTTCACATAAATAGAGCTTTCTTTTGGTGGTATTTGATCACTACTGTTTTTATATATATATATATATATATATATATATATATATATATATATATATATGTACAGTTGTGTTCAAAATAATAATAGCAGTGTGTTGAAAAAAGTGAATAAAGCTCAAAATCCTTCTAATAGCTTTTATTTCCATACACACAAATGCATTGGGAACACTATACGTTCTATTCCAAATCAAAACACGAAGAAAAATATATCAAATTTGTGTTGTTCCTCTAAAAAAAATTGAAGAAAAGTGAATATTAGACTGTTCAAAAAAATAGCAGTGTTTGTATTCTTCTTTACAAACTCAAACATTCACTATATAAACTAAAAAATGTTTGAAGATTTTGCTTTCCTTTGAATCACTTAATTAATATTTACCGTATTTATTCGAGTATAACGCGCAAAATTTTCTACCAAAAAAAGAAATCAAAGTTTGGGTGCGCGTTATAAACGAGGGCTGGGGTGGGGTGGTGACGCAGAGGCAGCCGATCCATTGAGGGCGCAGGCGCTCACTGTACGCGAAGAAAAAAAAAACGTCCCCTGTGCCGGCCCCGCCCCTTTAAGGGGCGGCGAAAACAGGGGATCGTTTTTTTTTTCTACGTCCCCTTGTCGCGTACAGTGGGCGGCCCGAACTGGCGAGATGCACTGGTGAGGTGACGCAGTGGCGGCCGGTCCATTGAGGGCGCATGCGCTCACTGTAGAAAGAAAGAAGAAAAAAAAAACGTCCCCTGTGCCTCTTCATTTCGTATGGTCGCCTCTTCATTTCCTTTCCTCGCCCACACGTTACGGTAAGCATTGCTGTTTTGCTGTGTTCTTCATATTATATTCATATTCAGTGTTCTTCATATTATTTATTGATATACTGGTACCCGTTAGATGGCAACTCAGGGTATCAAGAGAAAACGTTCTGCATATGACGCTTCCTTCAAGCTCAAAGTTGTTGGTCATGCTGAAATTCACGGAAATCGAGCAGCTAGCCGAGAATTCACTGTACCAGAGACGAATGTTAGAGAATGGAGAAAACAGAAAGTCGTCCTGAAAGATATGAATAAAACCAAAAAAGCACAACGAGGGAGACAAGCCATGTACCCAGACATGGAGAAGGAACTTTATGAATGGATCATTGACCAAAGAAGTAGTGGGTACATCGTCACATCACTCCACATTAGACTTCAAGCCCAAAAGTTTTGCAAAGATTCAACCTTCAAAGCCTCTAATGGATGGACACAAAAGTTTATGAAAAGGCATGGACTTGTAATACGCCAGAAAACAAAGATAGCGCAGAAGCTGCCAAATGATTTAGCAGAGAAGATCACTTCATTCCATACCTTTATAATCAACCAACGCAAGCAGATTAATTTTGAACTTGCACAGATAGGCAATATGGATGAGACCCCCATGTGTTTTGACCTACCAGGCAACAGGACAATTGACAGCAAAGGGAAGCACACAGTCCAGATTAAAACCACAGGCCATGAGAAAACTCATTTTACGGTTGCGTTATCCTGTATGGCAGACGGTTTTAAACTTAAACCAATGGTGATTTTTAAAAGAAAGACTATTCCAAAAGGAGTTAAATTTCCACCAGGTGTCGTGATCCATTGTCATCCTAAAGGATGGATGGATGAGAAGGGCATCATTTTATGGTTAAATAAAGTTTGGAATACTAGACCAGGCGCACTACTGAAGAAATCCATGCTTGTATGGGACCAGTTCCGCTCACACCTGACAGACACTGTGAAAGACAAACTGAAAAGTCTAAAGACATTTCAAGCTGTGATTCCAGGTGGACTAACCTCTATTCTTCAGCCACTCGATGTTGTTTTAAACAAACCCTTCAAAGACAGAGTCAGGGAAAAGTGGAATACCTGGATGAAATCCGACGACAAAGAATTGACTGCAAAAGGAAACCTCAAGAAACCTGGCCTATCTCTCGTGACATCTTGGATTAAAACATCATGGGAAGACATGCCAAAAGAAATGATCATCAAGAGTTTTTTAAAGACAGGCATCAGCAATAAAATGGACGGCACAGAAGACGACCTGCTGTGGAATTCAGACTCAGAAGAAAGCGAAGAAGCTGGAGAAACAGATGTTCCTGCCAACTGGGACACTGATGATAAATTAACTCTAGAAGAATGGGAACAACTCTTTAGTGTATCTGATGATGATGAATCTGACTTTGAAGCATTTTAAATAAATATTGTTACCGGTAATTTTATTTCGGTATTGTGTTTACCTTGTCAATAAATGATTTTTATCATGGCCGCACGTGTTCAACAATGTTTGTCACTTACAATGCTTGGTCTGAGCCGAGAAAAAGTGAAACAAAATTTTATACCGATTTTTAATCGAAAATTAGGGGTGCGCATTATACACGTGTGCGCGTTATACTCGAATAAATACGGTAGTTGTAGTCGCACTGTTTCTGAGAACTGCTGTACATCTGTGTTGCATGGAGTCAACCAACTTCTGGCACCTGTGAACAGGTATTCCAGCCCAGGATGATTGGACTACATTCCACAGTTCTTCTCTATTTCTTGGTCAGAAACTGCATTTTTGATGTCACCCCACAAGTTTTGTATTGGATTAAGATCCAGGGATCGGGCTGGCCACTCCATAACGTCAATCTTGTTGGTCTGGAACCAAGATGTTGCACGTTTACTGGTGTGTTTGGGGTTGTTGTCTTGTTGGAACACCAATTTCAAGGGCATTTCCTCTTCAGCATAAGGCAGCATGACCTCTTCAAGTATTCTGATGTATTCAAACTGATCCATGATCCCTGGTATGCGATAAATAGGCCCAACACCGTAGTATGAGAAACATCCCCATATCATGATGCTTGCGCAACCATGCTTCACTGTCTTCACAGTGTACTGTGGCTTGAATTCAGTGTTTGGGGGTCGTCTGACAAACTGTCTCCGGCCACTAGACCCAAAAAGAACAATCTTACTTTCATCAGTCCACAAAATGTTGCGCCATTTCTCTTTAGGCCAGTCAATGTGCTCTTTGGCAAATTGTAACCTCTTCAGCACGTCTTTTTTTCAACAGTGGGACTTTGCGGGGGCTTCTTGCAGATAGCTTGGCTTCACATAGGCGTCTTCTAATTGTAACAGTACTCACAGGTAACTTTAGACCTTCTTTGATCTTCCTGGAGCTGATTGTTGACTGAGTCCTTGCCATTTTGGCTATTCTTCTATCCATTCGACTGGTAGTTTTTCGCTTTCTTCCACGTCTTTCAGGTTTTGGTTGCCATTTTAAAGCATTTGCAATCATTTTAGCAGAGCAGCCTATCATTTTCTGCACTTCTTTATATGTTTTCCCCTCTCCAATCAACTTTTTAATCAAGGTACGCTGTTCTTCTGAATAATGTCTGGAATGACCCATTTTCCTCAGAATTTCAGAGAGAAATGCACTGTAACCAGCATGTACAATATTTGCTGCCTTCCTTCCTTAAATAAGGGCAATAATTGCCACCTGTTTTTCGAAGAATGAATGACCTCACTAATAGAACTCCACACTGCTATTATTTTGAAGATGCCCCTTTCAATTAGTGATTCAATTACACAGAATCAGCAGCATGCATGTCATGACTGTTGGGTCTGTTGGATTTCAATTACTCTACTACTCCTGCTAGTAAATTATTTGCCATGTAGAAATATAATTTCTACCAAAAACAGTGATTGATCAGTACTATTAGTGATGACTGACTGCTATTATTTTGAACACAACTGTATATATATATATATATACTGTATATATATATATATATATATATACATATATTGGAATTTTTTTTTGTTACACTAGTAATGATGGCAATCAGGGACTCATAGCGGGACTGTGACAGTGCATTCCGACACTGTGTGAACAGACTGTCACTGACATCACCAGTGACACTAATACAGTGATCAGTGCTAATAGTATGCACTGACACTGTACTAATTTCACTGGGTAGGAAGGGGTTAACATCTGGGGCAATCAAAGGGTTAACTGTGTGCCTAGGAAGTTTTAATGTGTATACTGTGTGCTGATTTTACTAAGGGATCTTTTTGTGTTTTTCCCTGCTTATCACGGAATGAAATACCAACATGATCACCTGTCACTATAAAGAGCTTTTTGATGTTTACTATCACAGAGCTCTGTCCGTGAATTACTGAGCTGATCAGCAGGTCCCAGCAGTCAATCATTGGCCAGGACCTGCTGATCGGCTTGTTCTGTAATGAATCACAGCACAGCAGGGTCGGTGGCCGCATGCATGCCCTACCCAGAAGCGTTGATCATGTACTAGGCATGTGATCTAGCGCAGAAGAGCCGCTCTGACACCGTTTATGTAAGCTTTGCGGTTGGCAAGCTGTTATTAAGTTACTGTTAAAGAATGGAGAGACATTAACGTACTTTATAGATATAATTGGTTTTAAATAGGAATAATTCCAGTTATGTAATGCATTTATATAGAGATCATGTGTGTGTGATATATATATAATAAGACAGTTGATACTGTGCGTTTTTCTTTTCCCAGCTGTCAAATTTGGACGAATGTCAAAAAAACAGCGAGACAGTCTATATGCTGAAGTTCAGAAGCACCAACAGCGGTTACAAGAACAAAGGCAACAGCAGAGTGGAGAGGCCGAGGCTTTAGCCAGAGTATATAGCAGTAACATCAGCAATGGTCTAAGCAATCTCAACACTGAAACAGGCGGCACTTACTCAAATGGACATGTCATTGACCTGCCAAAGTCTGAGGGTTATTACAGTGTGGATTCTGCACAGCCCTCACCAGACCAGTCAGGCATAGACATAAGTGGAATGAAACAAATAAAGCAAGAACCTATTTATGACCTTACATCCGTACCAAACTTATTTATGTATAGTTCTTTCAACAATGGACAGCTCTCACCTGGAATAAGCATAAGTGAAATTGGTAAGTAGATTTCACTAATCAGCAGGAAAAACAGCTTTGGTAATGTCATCTGATCACTGGTGTTACTTCTTTAACTCATTTTTATAATGTTAGGACCATACATACTGTCTTAGTTACTATTGCAAATGGGATAAGATATATACAGTATATGAGGTCTCATGCACAACTTAGATTAAAAACATCCTTCCCCTTGTGTTCTGTTCTTCACTCAATGGATGCACTGGGAACTAAATACATTTCATCTTACGGTTACAGTAGTTAACAACGACATCTGAAATCTATAGATGTATGCGTTAGCCACAGGCATAACATTTTTATTTGTCATTGGCCCATGTATTAAAAAAGAATCTGTGCGTCAGGGACGTCAGGATAATTTTCCAGAAGGGCCAAATGTGTCTGCCAGGATTTGGGAACACTAGGGGTTCATGCATTTCCACTGCCATTCATCTTTCTCCAAGATATATATCTTATTGCATATATTGGTCAGGCACAGAGTTTGTTACTGTATGTAACATATTTCTAGGTACCCAGGGATGCATTTAGTATATTAAGAAACTTTGGTCCCTCATTTAATGTGTAGCTAGCAGCCATTGTGTCACAAATTGTGCAGCCACAGGTATTGACTTTCAATCAGATGTCAGGTGTGGGCCTTAAAGTAAACAGCCTACTTATTATTATAGAGTAAATGACTCAATGATTCACAAGGCCAGAAAAAGGATGTTTTTCATATTAAAGCGGAACTACACTGTATCTGAGCACCACAAACGCTATTTAGTTAATTTTTAATATTCAAAGCAAACACCCCCATGCATCCATGTCCCCATGCATTATTTTGCTGAGAAATCATTTTGAAAAACATCCTTTGGCATTTCTGGCAATGGCCATCTTGAGTAAGGGAAAATTATTTAGGTAGCATTTACTTCCTGGAATCCATCTGCCCTTAGCTCAGGCATAGGCTGAGCTGAGAACCCTCCCCTTCTGAAGACTGCTGGGATGTATGACATCATTTGCCGAGGCATGAAAACCAGGAAAACTGAATAAATGAAAAAAAAGGTTAAAAGAAGTAAAAATTATATACTATCTATTTATTTACTAATACTAGCAGCATAAGGATTAAATATACTAAGAAATATATATATATATATATATATATATATATATATATGAGAAAAGAAAGTGTGACAAACCAACCTTGGAAAATAATAAGCAAAGAAAACTAGTGCACGCCTAAATTTTAAACTGACACATTGAAAATATTCAATACATAATATATGTGCAAAACAATCTGAATGTGAATCCATATATCATATGGACCAATTCTCAGAATTGAAAAGTGATAATTTCATGGCCCAGACGGAGACATATAGTGTAGTATGTTTTATTTAAGCGTATTCCCTGAGGAAGTGCATGCTCACAAAACATGTTGGGAGGGGCCTTACGTGCTGGAGTCACACAGACGACGGTATTCGGTGCAGCGGCCATCTCTGTAAGTCCAGACAGCTTGTTTGTTTGATGCATCCACATGGTTGTTTTAGTTTTGTTTTATCCAATTTTAAATAAAACATACTACACTATTTACCTCCGTCTGGGCTCTGTGGTGTGAGCTCTTCCCATCTAAGACTTTGGAATTGATGACCAGGAATTGAGACGCAGGAATGATTACGGTGGCTATGATACATGCAGTTGCAATTTAACCTTCTGGTGAGTGCATATGGGTGAAGGAGTGCACATTGCTGGTGGTGCCGGGAAGAAGAAGTTTGGCCATCTCTTTCTCTTTGCACTATTGAGACACTAATCATAGTTGGATACGCACTGTAATGATTGGACTTTTGCATTTGTTGCATCATATCTAATGAATTATCACTTTTCAATTCTGAGGATTGGTCCATGTGATATATGGATTGACATTTGGATTGTTTTGCACATATATTATGTATTGAATATTTTGTATGTGTTAGTTTACAGTTTAGTGCTGCACTAGTTTTCTTTGCTTATTAAGGATTAAAAATAGTCCATGTTGATCTCGAGAGTGAAGTTTCGCTTTCAGTTGAGGGTTGAAAGGGAAGGTTCAGGGTAATCCCTGTAAACCAAAACGCCTGGGGCACTAGTGGGACTCCAGAAATGTATGCAGATAAATATTGTTGAAGCAATATGGGGTTTTGTTGCTAGCAAATCATCCAACTTGATTCTTCTGAACACTAGTTAATATTATACAGGAAGAAAGACTGATACATCAATCAGGAATCATGGCTGAAAAATATCTTTTTATATAAGCATAATATTAAAATTACATAACTAGCCAATCTAATGTCTTTAGTTGCCATTTTCTAAGAACTAACAGAGGGCACTGCAGCAACAATTTATGCATGTACATGTACAGAGGGTCAGAGGTCTTCATAAAAATATGTTAGCTGAGTTACTATTTACTTGATGACTTCTCAGCTCAGAACTGTAGCACGGGGAAATTTTCCTGTTATGAATTCACAGAGGGGGCAGCTATTATTGGAGATTTCTTTCATTCAGAGATTAGGGCTGGCTATGTCACCAAACTGCATTTAGAGATTAGGGCATTGTCACCAAAAAGCTTACAGAGTGATATGCAACCAGCAGTTAAACAGAAAGTTTACAGCACAGAAATATTGGTTTGTACGCTTTCATTTTGGAATCTAAAGGAACTGAAGGCAGTAGAGTAAAAGTCACTTGTTTAAATCGGGTCCTGTGGGCAAAATCTTCTCCTTACTTACCCTGCAGACACTCATACTGTCCAGTAATACACAAAAATAATAAGATATAATTGTATTGATCTACAGATGGTTCATTTGAACAGCGGCATCCTTATACAACAGTTTATTTGGTCCTGTTCAACCCCTGATTATTTGGAATAGCATAGTTGTAGTGAGCTAGTAAAGGAAAGACGCACTTGGGTCTCCATGAAAGTTGTTCATCCTGTACCCCCAAGTTATATCCTAGATTTCATATACCAAAACAAACAACCCCTTTGGGAAAAGAAACCTAAACTTTTGATGTTAAAATAAAATTTTTTTTTGCCACTTTCATTTTTTTTATTTTTTATTGTATGCTGTCCACTTTGCACATTGCCATGTACATGCCTTGATAGTTGTGCTTTGCTTCACTAAATATTTTTATGTAGTTTCTGGTAAAACCTCCTGCTTTTTGTTATCACACCTACAAATGATTATACTTTGGCGTGACATTAAAAATTAAAAATGAATGAAATGGTATTTATTCTTTTTTTGTTCATGCACTGATTTTTCTCCACACTGATTTTCTTCATTTTCTTTTATCAAGAAATCACTACAGTAGAACATGTTTGACTTACTCTTTTCATTTTTCATTTTTATTTTCATGCCATAAGTGATTTTTTTTTAACCAGTGTTACATTCCTCTGAGCAGAGATAGCAAGATATTCCTGCCAAAGTTCTCTATAATGTAGATTCCAGGCAGAAGGCTATGGCAATACTGCAATGGCTGTGACATTGTGTTAAGTTTAACAATTTGTAAATTCTGTGATAAAAAGCTGCCAAGAATTTCAACAGAGCAAAGGCTACTTAAATTTGAGTTATGAAGTTTGCATTTAATATATTGATATTTCTTAGTGCAGTTTGTATATCTAAACCATTTAACAAGTCTTTATCATTATGGAAATGTATGTGACATTGATCAGAAAAAAAAAAGAAACCTGATACTTACATTTAATATGCCGTTAGTGTGTGTTACTTATTGGTATTGCAATAATCTAATAAAAATAAGGACACTTAATTACCTGTTAAGTTTAAGTTAAGTTTATGGAACTTGCCACATTGCATTGCTTAAAAGTCCTTCTTTTGACTGCTGCTGTTTTTGTACTCTGTGGCAATAGATGAGGAACAGCTGTCACATTTTGAAAGGCTTTGCTCAACTGATCTTTGGACCACCTATATCAATGTTCTCTGTTTATAGTGCTCTTGTACACTGTACTCATGAATGAAGTCTGGTGGTGTAGACAGAATGTCTGCCAACAGGACATAATGTGATTCTGATCCTCCAGCTCCTTCCAAAAAGCTCATTGAGATCTGAGAGGTAGAATTAAGGCTTCACTTGCTAGGCGTTCTGTGCAAATCAGTGTACACTCAAATCACAGCTCTTTCATTCTAATCAATTAACATGAGATAGAGAATAACTTACTGTGCATTGTTATTTACTTACATTGTTCAAAACTTAATAGATTACCTGCATGGCAGAAACTGTTTAAACCAGCAACTTAGTTTAAACTGAATTCCAGGCCATTATTAAAGGCACAAATTTGTTATGTTCTGTATGCATTTTTAATGCAACTGCTGTAAGTAGCTGAATTTGATATCATTCTCTTGCAATTCCATTAAATTGGTACTGGGAGAGGGAGGGGCAAAACTAGCAGTCAGTCAGGTTAGCTTCATTAAATTATGTTGACAAGCAACAGATTGATAGGAGGGGAGTGCAGAGGTCTGACCTTATCTGTTTGCCAGTACTTTCACTGTCTAATGAGTAGGCTGATGTTGTAAAGAACATGCCATTGTATTTCTAAACTAATGGGTGTAATTCATTTGATTGGTGTGATCGGGCTTTGTAAATTTCAGGAGTGACAAAATAAATCATTTGGCAGGTAAAACTGCTCTCATATACATTTCATTTTGTATGTAATTGTTTGCCTGGAGTTTAACCTTAAAAAGACACATTGCATTTAAAATGTACAATTTTGCCTTTCATTTTGAATTATTTGCAAATAATGTAATACACAAAAATAATAAGATATAATCGCATTCATCTACAGATAGTTAATCTTAACAGTGGCTTCCTTACACAACAGTTTCTTATGTCCTCTTCAACCCCTTATTATTTGTAATAGCATTGTTATAGTGAGCCAGTAAAGGAAAGACGTACATATGCTTGGACCCCAAGAGTTCATGGGACCCCATGACAGTCATTCATCCTGCATCCCTTGTTACATGCTAAATTACATG